AAATGACGGTAAAACTGTATTCTTGTAGCCGGAGTGCCCAGCGCGCAAGGCGGGCACAATGGTCACGAAGGTTGACAAGCCAACACAACGAGTGGTGGTCGGTTACGACTGTGAATGGGCGTCCATACAGGTAAGACCTAAACCACTGAATTGCAAATAATACCGCCAGGGATTCTCGTTCCGTAACAGTGTAGTTTTGTTCCGGCCTGCTTAGGGAGCGACTTGTGTATGCGATGACGTGTTCGCGGTCGCCGTAACGTTGTACTAGGATGGCTCCAATACCTATGCCGCTAGCATCCGTATGAAGCTCTGTCGGAGCAGAAGGACTGAAGTGCCGAAGGACGGGCCGTGACGTCAGCAAAAACTTCAATTGACGGAATGAGAATCGCACTCCGGATTCCACTCAAAGGAATTGTCCTTCCGTAACAGGCATGTGAGAGGATACGCAACGTCGGCAAACTTCGGAATAAAGCAGGCGGAAGTACGAACAAAGCCTCAGGAAACTAGGAAGCTCCTTGACAGAACGCGGCGCATTGAACGCCTCAACTGCTTCTGTCTTCTGGGGGTCAGGGCGGATGTCATCCTTGTCAACGAGATGCCCGAGCACAAGCGTCTGGCGGTCGCCGAAGTGGCATTTCTTCGAGTTTCAAATTAGGCCAGCGTTTCGGATGTAGTTCAAAACAGTATCCAGACGAGAGTTGTGTTCACTTAGCGTGCGGCCAAAGATGACGACGTCGTAGAGGTAGCACATGCAGATGTTCCACTTCAAGCCACGCAGAATGGTGTCCATAAACCTCTCGAACGTGGCCGGTGCCTTGCACAGTCCAAATGGCATCACGTTGAATTCAAAGAGCCCATCAGGGTTACAAAGGCAGTCTTTTCCTTGTCCTCTGGATGCATCGGAATTTGCCAATAACCGGATCGTAAGTCTACGGAGGAAAATAAGAGGCCGAATATAAGCAGCCTATTGCGTCCTCTATACGGAGCAGCGGGTATACGTCCTTTTTAGTCAAAGCATTCAGTCGGCGATAGTCGACGCGAAATCTCCAAGATCCATCTTTCTGCTTAACAAGGATTACCGGTGCTGCCCACGGACTGGCTGACTCTTGTACCACTCCCTTTTAAGTGTGAATACACTTTATGAGCGACCCGAAACCATCCACCGCCGTCGGCGGCGTCCGCAGTCTTCTCTCTATCTTTAAAAGAAAGAGGACTTGGTGGGCCACAGCGCGACGCTCTACCGAATAAGCCACGGACGCGACGCTGATATTGGTGTCAGTAACGCGCCTTATACCCCCTCCCCCTCGCTCGCTCCTCCACTCTCCTCGCTCGCTGCAGCTGCGCGTGCACCCCTCTCTCTCGCGCGCCCGCCTTCTCTCTCAGTCTCCCGTCGAGAGCGGGTCGTGAGGGGGAGTAAAGTTAAAATCCGTTGGCATTCACCAGTAAGTTAATGTCAACTCCCTCGTGTGATCAAATTGCGGTTCCCAGGAACATTACACCAGTAAAGGCACCATAGTGTGATTAATAAATATAATAGTGCAAATTAATAAATACCCCTCATAGCATCACCCCGTGTATTCGCACTTAACCATGTTCACCCTCGAGGAAATGCTTGGGAGTTTCTGCATTATTTTCTGCACTTGGTCATTGATAATTTGTCTTTCTGACGGGGAAACACGATATGGTTTTTGGCAAATCGGACTTGCCGCGCCAGTGCTGATGGTATGGCGCGTTCGAGACAGGGGAATAGAGATTACTTTGCCCTTCTGCGCAAAGTCAAATACCGTAACGTGCTTCAACAGCACATTCATAAAGTTCAGCGCTCGCTTGATCTAAGCGACTTATTTATCGTTGCCACAAGTGCCCCGTCCAAATTGTGACAACCAGTTCCGTCACGTTCTTCCGGCACGTCTGTGAGCTCGACCACTGATTAGGTCGCGTGTTCTTTGCTGACCGAAGCCAATTTCAAACCATTGGGTAGTGTCACGGGCTCAGAGGAACAGTTTACAGTCCATAGGCCAGTTCGTCCGCCATCAATCGACACCACACAATGGGGAACCAACACATTCTTACTTCACGCAGTTTATGTGCATTGGTTCTACGCTCGCATCGAAGCTGTCAGAATCCGCGCCGCGACAAACAACAGGAACACGTACGGTAGACAACGCAGGTATGAACGTATCGCCACAGACACACAGCGTAGTTTGGTCATTCACTGGAGTTTCCAGAAGTTCTGAAGGCATCTGGTCACTCACAAAGACTTTCCCCGTGCGACAGTCTACAGTGGCACCACATTCTCGCAAGAAGTCCATGCCGAGAATGACATCATGTGTCGACCGAGGAATAATCGCAAACTCTGTCGTTATCATAATGCCTCTCAAAAATGCCTCAGCACTACACACACCAATAGAGCGCAATGGCTCTCCACTCACTCCACAGAACGTCGAAGTTTCGTCCCAGGTAAAACAACTTTCCGCCCTAACACATCTTTGAAGGAATCACTCATCACGGAAATTGTTGCACCGGTGTCCACCAAGGCCTTCACAGGCACATGATCCACCACAACACTCACTTTGTTTTTAAACAGACACACAGGAGGTATTTCTCTCAGTAGCACGTTTCCAGCGACCTCACCCCCATTGGCCGCGCTGGCTAGTTTTCCGGTGGCGAAGAGGGCACTTTGCGACGCTGCGGTGAAGGAGAGCGATGAGTACGAGGTCGCGGTGGGAGCTTTAAACTCCTGTCAGATACCGGGGAGTGGTTGCGGAAGCTGCTGGGCAGATAGTTGTCATCAGGTGGTATGTGGGCCCGCCGCCGGACACCATGAGGCTGTTCGAAGGGTCGTGAAAAGTCGGATGGCTGGTGATACCGAGGAGTCACCCGACGGTTGCAAAATCGCGATATGTGGCCTGGCACACCGCAGGAATAGCACACCGGCCGAGGTCGAAACGTCGGTCGCGCGTCGATGAATAGAGCGTCATCATTTCCTCTTGTGTGACGTATGTACTAGTTGGGTGCGTCGTACCGAGACGTCGGGTGTCGAGGAGGCATGCGCTGAGAGCGTCGATCATACAGCGACGCGGGAAATCTAGTTGTCATCCTTGACTGTGGGGCTGGGCTGTACTCTACAGTTGCCGCGCTCATCGTCGGTTGCCATGGGGTCAAAGGAGGCACATCCATAGCCTCACGTGGCAGACACAACTCGCGATGGTGAGCTGTCGAACACGTCATTTCTCGGTGGGACAGTTCCTCATGAGCAATCTGTCGAATGGTAGAAAAAAGTTCGAGACCAGGATTCGTGTCCACACTGGCAACAGTTGTAACGTTAGCCAGCCGACCAAAATTTGGTGCGATTCGACGAATCTTGAGCGTTTCAAACGTTCCGCAATGCTGAATGACGTCGGACACAGAACTGAGGCTTTCTTTTCCAATTAGAAAATTGTACACGTCCTCAGCTATCCCTTTGAGCAGATGCCCAACTTTGTCCTCTTCCGACATGGTAGCACAGACCACCTTGCACAGCCTTAACTTCTTCTATGTAAGTGGTGCATGTATCACCTGGTAGCTGTGCCCGTTGCGACAGTGTTTGCTCAGCCTGCTTCTTTCTAGTAACCGAGTCGCCGAACCACGCCCTGAGCTCTTCAACAAAAAGATCCCACGTCGTGAGTGCGTCCTCGTGGTTCTCGTAACATCCCACTGCGGTGTCGGTCAGTGAGAACACTACGTTGGCTTGCATAGTGGCTGCATCCCAACCGTTGGACTTGCCCACACGTTTGTACTTGGTGAGCCTGGCGTCGACATCTTCGGCATTTCCTCCGACGGGTGGTGGAACTCGGTAGTATGGAAGCAGGCCACATCGTGCCGTCTTGGAAACGCTTGCTTCTTCGGGCATGTCGAAGTCACTCACTGCAGATTAGTGAGACCGGCAAGTCGACGGCTTCGTCGAAGCTGTGGCAGTGATCGTTCGTAGTTAAAGCGCTTACCCAGCTTCTCCACCACTCTGTTACGTTTGAAATAGACTGGTAGACGTTGAAAGGGGCCGTTTATTAGGTCGTGAGGGGCAGCTCAGAAGCGGCCGACTGGTTAAAGATCCTCCTGATGCTCTTCTTCCTCTCTCGCTCTGGGCGGCAAGTGCGTTCACCGTGTACGCTTCTTTGTCTTCGTGCATGTCATCATCATCGTCATCATCATCAGCCTGACTACGTCCACTGCAGGACAAAGGCCTCTCCCATGTTCCGCCAGTTAACCTTGGTCCTGTGCTTGCTGCTGCCAATTTATACTCGCAAACTTCTTAATCTCATCTGCCCACCTAACCTTCTTTCTCCCCCTAACCCGCTTCCCTTCATTGGGAATCCAGTTATTTACCCTTAATGATCAGCGGTTATCCTGTCTACGCGCTACATGCCCGGCCCATGTCCATTTATTCTTCTTGATTTCAGCTATGATATCCTTAACCCCCGTTTGTTCCCTAATCCACTCAGCTCTTTTCTTGTCTCTTAAGGTTACACCTACCATTTTTCTTTCCATTGCTCGCTGCGTCGTCCTCAATTTAAACTGAACCCTCTTCGTAAGTCTCCAGGTTTCTGCTCCATAGCTAAGTACCGGCAAGATGCAGCTGTTATATACCTTCCTCTTAAGGGATAGTGGCAATCTACCTGTCATAATTTGAGAGTTCTTGCCGAATGTGCTCCACCCTATTCTTATTCGTTTAGTTACTTCGATCTCGTGGTTCGGCTCTGCGGTTATTACCTGCCCTAAGTAGACATAGTCTTTTACAACTTCAAGTGCACTAGTGCAGTCCACTTATAACGATATCGAGAAAACCTAAAAATATGATCGTTATAACCGGTGATCGTTATATCTGGACTGCCGCCAAAAAATCGTCGCCGGACGTACCTTTTGTAGCTCCAGGCTTCATTTCGCTATGTTCACCAATTAATAAATATTGTAGATAGTAGGATGTCAAAAACAAGACTTTATTTCTTACTCCGAAGAACGCATCACGGGTTCGGCACGCCGAAGTAGTCCGAAATCTGCAGTTGCTTCCGCGGAAGCTTCAGCTTCACAACCGCGGTGCGCATAGCTTCCAGGTGCTGCGAAAACTCTGGCGGCATTCCTTTGATGCGCATAAAGTCAATCAGGGAGTCGATAGACATCAGTGCACCTTGCGTCGTCATCGACGGGGTCGTAGAGGCGCTGTCAACCTCCTCATCACTACTGTCGCTGCCGTCGCACAACGCCGCCGCCTGTCGCGACAACACATCCGCGACGATTGCCTCGTTGGTGAGTTCATCGCAGAACGAAGCAGCACTGTCTGCCGTCAGGAAGTCCTCAACCGACGCGACACACCCGCTATCTGCATCAACAGTAGCGACGTGCTCCCAGAGCTCCGTCAGATCCGCAGTTTCCGTGCCGGTCACGCTGTCGCTATCGCTAGACGAGGGAGGCTGGTCCTGGCGCACAAAGCCTGCCTTCCTGAAGCAGTTCTGAATGGTGGCCGGCCTCACCTCATACCACGCGCCGTAAACGAAGCGCACGGCCTTTAGAAGGCTAATCTTCAGATCAGGGGCATCAGAGGGCCCGCCTGCATTGCCCGACGTACCGGGAGCCGAGCGGTCAATCGTTAACACGAGCCACTCGAGCATGCGTCGCTGGTACAACGCTTTAAAGTTAGCAATCACGCCGGCGTCTAGCGGTTGCAAGCCTGCCGTCGTATTCTGCGGCAGGAACATCAATTCAATTGATGTCAGCTTCGGGCTCACGTTGTGTGCGCTACAGTTATCAAGCAGCAACACAACCTTCCGCCCCTGAATTTCGATGACACTGTCCATCTCGAGCAGCCACTCCTCGAACAAGACACGGGTCATCCAGGCCTTCTTGTTGCTCCTATAGCGGACCGGGATGTGCTGATTCCTGAAGCACACAGGCTTCTTGGATCGTCCGATCACGAAGGGCTTGAGCCGATATCTCCCGTCCATATTCACGCAAAGTAATACGGTTACCCTAACCTTGGAGTGCTTACCGCCGGGACACGGATCGCCCTTCAAAGCATGCGTCTTCGATGGTGTCATTTGAAAGAAAAGGGCAGTCTCATCACAGTTGTAAATGTCTCTGGCTGAGAAGCGCTCCATCAATACGGGCAGGTTGGTCTGGAGCCACTGCCGCTTCGCCTCTGAATCGAGAGAGGCCGCTTCTCCCACCACGTTCTTGTACACAATGCCGTGCCGCTCTTTAAATCTTTGTATCCAGCCGTCGCCGGGTTCGAAATTCGGCCGACCAAGCAGAAAGGCCAAGTTTTTCACCTTTGTGGCAAGTATTGGCCCACTAATCGGCACATTTTGGGCACGGATCGACAAGAACCACTGGTAGAGTGCCTCTTCGACGTCTGCATACAAGGGCCCCTGAACTCTCTTCCGCTCGTCGGCATGGCCACTGGTTCCAGCCTTCAAAAGCGCGGTGCTTCCGGTTTTGAGGATGGTCGAGATCGTCGACTGGGCGAGCTCGTATTTTTTTACGAGGGCGCTCACTTTAAAACCGCGTCGCAAATCCTGCAAAATATTCGACTTTGTCTCAAGCGACACGGCCTTTCGCTTCGTCGGCGCCATAGAGGGTTGTCTCTGCTCCGCTCTAGACGTTGCTCGCGCGATCGCTGAGGAAGAGAGACCGACCGACGGCGGGGTGGGAGCAGTGGGAGGAAGAAAGCACAGCCAGAGGTACACAGCCGGAATGCCAACGAGGCCCCGCCCCGATGCTGCCGTGGCGCTTTGCTTTTCGCATTTTTTTAAAAATTCTCTCAGCCTCTCCACGGTCGACGCGCGGCGAGGCGCAAAACGTGACACAGCTCGCGCCATCTGTAGCGCGTCGCGCCAACTCGCGATGCTCTCCTCGGCTTTTTGAACGGCCGGGACGCGCTGCCGGCGCCTGTGCTGCAGTGGCGGACAGATACGTGCTCGCCTACGCTAACTTTTCGTCTTGTCTCGGCATAGTTCGTTACAGAGGAAGATATCAGTCCAAATGTTACGATTATTGTGGATGAAACATGCCGTCCATGGCAAACTTTTCATCGTTGTATCCGATATGCGGTGGATAACATATCGTTATATATGGTTTTTTTCCCCATAGCCCCAATGCATAAAATGAGACTGTTAAGTCGACCCATCGTTATAACCGATATATCATTATATGTGGTATCGTTATAAGTGGACTGCACTATTACCTATCTCGAAGCGCTGCTCCTTTCCGAGGTTGTTGTACATTACTTTCGTTGTCTGCAGATTAATTTTAAGACCCACCTTTCTGCTCTACCAGTCTGGCTCCGTAATCATGAGTTGCAATTCGTCCCCTGAGTTACTCAGCAATGCAATGTCATCGGCGAAGCGCAGGTTACTAAGGTATTTTCCATTAACTCTTATTTCTAACTGTTCTCATTCTAGGCTTCTGAAAACCTCCTGTAAGCACGCGGTAAATAGCATTGGAGAGATTGTGTCCCCCTGCCTTACACCCTTCTTGATTGGTATTCTGTTGCTTTCTTTATGAAGCTTTATGGTAGCAGTTGATCCCCTGTAGATTTCTTCCAAAATGTTTATATATACTTCATCTACGCCCTGATTCCGCAGTGTCTGCATGACGGCTGATATTTCTACTGAATCAAACGCCTTCTCGTAATCTATGAAGGCTATGTGTAGTGGTTGGTTATACTCATTTTTTATTACCTGATTGATAGTATGAATGTGGTCAATTGTTGAGTAGCCTGTTCGGAATCCTGCTTGTTCCTTTGGCTGATGGAATTCTAATGTTTTCTTTACTTCTGTTAGCAATTACCTTTGTAAATAGCTTGTATACTACAAGAGAGCAAGCTGATCGGCCTGTGATTCTTCAAGTCCTTGTCATCTCCTTTCTTGTGTATTATTACGCATGCCTGGGAAGAAAACGAGGATGGCTGATCTTGGGTCATTATGATCGGCGCAGGCGGGAGTCCGGCAAGGCGGCGGCTGCGGCGTAGTCATATAGTGAAGCTCCCGTCGTTGGGCTTGTCTTACCCAGCACGCTTCCACCAATCTGTTACGCACAAGGAGGATCAGGACGTATACGGCTGAAGGGGGCCGTTTATTTTGGTCACGAAGAGAAGCGCCGGAGCGGCCAACAGGTTGATGATTGCAGCGTCGTCGTCTTCTTTCTTCCTCCAGCTTGGGGCAGCCAGCATGTTCAGCCATCTTCATTTTCTTCCCAGGCATGCGTAACACATACAGACAATAGTCTTGAGTGATCACGTTCCGCCAGCACTCTTGGAAAACCCTGTGAATGATGAGACGTCATTGTGTGTCTGTGGTGACACTATCATACCACCGTTATCAACCGTTCGTGTACCTGTTGGTTGCAGCGACAGCTATTCCGCCAACTTTGATGCCAACGTAGAACCAGTGTACACCAACTGCATGAAAAAGAATGTGTTGATTCCACATTGTGTGGTGTCGATCAGACGTGGACGCGCTGGTTTATGGACTGCCAATCGCTCTACAGAAACCGTGATGTTACTAGATGGTCTAAAGTTAGCCGTCGTCAGTGGACAACACGAGGCCTTACTGGTGACCGAGCTTAGAGAAGCGCCGGAGCAGCCAACAGGTTGATGATCACAGCGTCGTCGTCTTCTCTCTTCCTCCAGCTTGGGGCAGCCAGCAAGTTCAGCCATCTTCGTTTTCTTCCCAGGCATGCGTAACAGTAATAAGATTATGTTAGCGTTCTTCCAAGACTCTGGTACTCTTCCCGTCAGGAGACACCTCGTAGACAGTGTGGCTAGTTTTTCTAACACAATCTTTCCTCCATCTTTCAGCAGATCTGATGTTACCTGATCCTCACCAGCAGCTTTGCCTCTTTGCATGCTCTCCAAAGCTTTTCTGACTTCTTCTATCATTAGTGGTGGGTTGTCATCTGGGTTACTGCTAGTTCTTATAGTATTAAGGTCGTGGTTGTATCGGCTACTAACAGATCTCTGTAAAACTCCTCCGCTATTTTAACTATTCTATCCATATTGGTAGTTATTTTGCTCTCTTTGTCCCTTAGTGCATACATCCGACTTTTGCCTATCCCAAGTTTCCTCTTCACTGCTTTGACGCTTCGTGCGTTTTTCAGATCGTGTTTAATTCTCTCCATGTTATACCATCGTACATCGCATGCCTTACGTGCATGTACGCAACATTAATATATATATATATATATATATATATATATAATGTTCGTTCTGTAATCACGTGACAATAGATAAATATATATATATATATATATATATATATATATATATATATATATATTATGATTGCGTAAAGACGCCAATAATTGTGTCCTTCATACCATCTTTTATTTGTTTTGTCACCACGGTAAACATTGCTTTGGTGTTACTGTGGCATAAATAATTAGATAGGGCTGACATGAGCCACGTTTTTGCTGAAAGTCAGATAAATACACAAGAGGGGATGTGCGAACGTTAGACTCATTTGAGTGCACCACCACACAAAATCTTGCGCTAGTGTTCAACCGTCAACGGGCAGCTATATGTGACGTTACCGGTTCTTCGGAAAAAAATTGTTCAGTTATAGCGACTTAGCGCCTGGTCACATGTGCTGCATGCCGATGCTCTTTCTTTGCACCTTATTTTTTAGTACTGAGTACTGACTATGCGCGTGCTAGTCATGTTGAAAGGTATTCACAACTGCTCGTAACGTAGCTATGACGATACTGACTTCATAAGAAATTGAGGCGCAAACATTATTGAGTCCAATCCACCCCTTCCCAATGCAGCAGCGCATGCTCCCTTCCCTAGCAGAAAGCTCGCAAGGGGCTTCCTTATATTGTAGTCCTTATATCCTGGCGACGGCGTTATTCTCCGCCCTTATCAAATTCTTGCCAAAAAGGGGAAGGGGCAGCACAGGAAAATGAAGGTGGCTTTCACCACCATATTGCGGAGCCACCGAACACCACCGGAGCGCTGTGCTGAACCGGAGAGGTCTTTAGCAATACAGAGCTTTGCTCAAGGAGACAGTGCATATTTCCAGAATAGTGGCACATTTCTTTTTATTTTTCTCAATACGAACGACTCTTTTCTCTCTTCTCCTCACTCTGGAGTATAACCCTCCTTCCGCGCCGCGTTGCCACCGATTCAATGAGCCCCGCATCGGTAACGCGCTGCCGCCAGAGGTTCAAACACCAGTGTGCCGCCTCCGGCAATTTTGGTACCGGCGCACAGGTCCTAGTTGGGACCCTACCACGATGCTCGCGAATGTTTCTTCTACTTGGATGGAATTCTGCGTGTCTGGTACGAAACAAATGAGTCTGAGCTCACCAGCTAGGTCACGTTCAAGGAGAAGATACGTGGCATCTTTGGGAACCCGACAGGTCACCACGCAGCTTCGCGACAGGAGCTGGCTACCCGTATCCATTCGTGAACTGAATCATATGTGTCCTACATACAAGACGTTCTCACTATTTGCCGGAAAGTGGACGAGGCGATGAGTGAAGCTGATAAGGGTGGTAACGTTTTGAAGGAAATTGCCAACGACACTTTCAATTTGCTGGCCTACACCAACTTCTCGACTATAGAGCGCATCATTAAAAAATGCCGCCGTTTCAAAACAGCCAGAAGCCCTCGGGTGCGCACTCCCTTTTCTCGTTTGCCAAACACCGCGGCTACGTCCACCTGCTCCGATTCCACCGCCACACCGCCCTTTGAGCAGAGTGTGACGCGTATCTTCGACGGGAACTTAAGCAGCAAGTTGAACGCCGCTTCAGCCCTGTCCTTTCGAACATGCTACGATACCAACCACCCCCGCGGTCTCTGTTATTCAGGCCGTCGTACGACTAGAATTCGCCAACCTTGGATTCCCTGTCCCCTGCCCGATCTCTTGCCCCTCCTCCAAATCAATGCCCATCAATGGATCTCGACGTGACCCATTTATTCCTCCACAATCTCGCAACCAAACGGAATGGCGAACTCCCGACGATAAAACGATCTGCTTCCGGTGCAACCGCGTTGGTCCTGTCTACTGATACTGCCGGGTCACCTGGACACCACCACATAGGAGCCTGTCTTTCGCACCCTATCACCCATATGAAGATCTTCGCCGCTATTCGCCCAGACGTACGTATCCTGCTTTCTACACACCTAACAGCCGCCTTCCTGCTCGTTCTCATCCCCTCAACGCCGTCAATCACCGTCGCTCCAGCCACGCCGTTATCCCTCGCCGCCCAACTTTCGTACCCGACGAAAAACTAGACCGTGCAGCATCTGCAGGTGGCGCTGCATCATCCTCGTCTGAGCGAAACCTTACATTGGCGCTTCCTACGAACAAGAATCTTATTTATGTGCACGTGGACGGTATTTCTTTGGCGGTGCTAGCCGATACGGGCGCTCACCTGTCCATAATCAGTGTTCATATTTGTCGCCGCTTAAGAAAAACACTAACGCTTCCTGCTACAGAAGCTGCACGTGTCGCTGATGGCGGAACTGTTCCTGTAATTGGCGTGTGTGGGGCTCGAATAAACATCGCCAACCACTACGTTCCTGTACTTATTCACGGTGCTCCATAACTGTCCTCATAACCTCATCTTAGGGATGGACTTTCCTGTCGACCCATTCTGCTCTGACAGACTGTTCTGC